GCGGCGGGGACCCTTGGAAGGAGTGCGCGGAGGTGGCGGTGCAGCTGGCCCTCCGCGCCGGGCAGGTGAGAGCCCCGGCGGCGGGGGGGGGGGGGTTGGGGGAAGGGCCGTGTGGGCGCTTGGCTGGTGCGGAGGGCTGGGGGGAGGAGGAGGAGGAGGAGGAGGAGGAGGAGGAGGAGGAAGGCGGCAGGCTCGGCACCCGCTCAGCCGGGCCGGGGGGCCGCTTCCCTCTGCAGCGGGAGGGATGCCGGCGGCGGGGGCCGCTCCCCCCCCCGGGGCCGCAACCAGCGTAGGGACCAGGAGGCGCTTCAGGTGAAAGCAGATTTATTTTGTGACTGGGAGTATTTTTATTTGTTTAAAAAAATATAAATAAAGGCGGAAAGATTTGTCAGCGTGAAGGTGCTTTAGTAACTTTTTCAAATGTACAGGGAGCATTTATTCTGGCGCTGTAATGTTTTGGAGCATGCTGTGTTGCTAAGGTTGAATTTATGTACAACTGAGGCTTATGCCGTGGTGCATTTATCCAGAATATTGTGTATTTACACGTTACAGTACCAGCATTTGTTTCTGAGCAGCTTGTGCAGAGAAAAATAGTCATGTCAGGGAGGTTTTGTCTTCTTGCTATATATACCACTGTCTTCAGAGTGACTGAAGTTCACTTGCTAGGGATATAAATCAGCAGTGGCTCTGCACAGATCTACGGTAGCTTATTTAAGACCCATGTTTCGACACAGTAGAAGGTTAGTCATCTTGGGAGACATCCTGGCCCCACTGTCTGCAGCAGCAAAACTTCCACCGACTCTAACAGAGCCAAGAAGTGGGATCAGCAGATTGTTCAGATGAGAAATTGGGTAAAGCACAAACCTCAGCAACATGTCTTTCTCTTATGCTTCCGTTCTGCTCTATTCTGAAACGCGCTTTGTACCTGTACACTATGATTCAAGGAGCCCCCTTTTCTATCTTGAGTCCAGGACCTGTAACTTTTCCTTTATGTGTTATTAAAACTATTTTCTCCCTAGCAGAAGACACAAACAAAGATGAACAGAATGCCAGAGGAGGGGAGACTTGTTTTAGTAATACAGGGAATAAATGGATAATCCAAATCGGGATGACAGGTCATGCTCTCACAGACTCTCCAAGCAGGAGTTTTTCCAGCATACTCATTCTGCCAGCCATTTCACAAGAGAGACTCTCATGACTTGCTCAAGCCTCCACACCTTACTTCTCAAAATATCAATTTGTGAAGACAACCATAACCATCTCCGGCCATTTTAATTGCTCAGAAAGTCACAGCTGAGCACCTTTTCCTGTAAGAAATAAACATTCCAGAAGATTAATCCTTGCATCTTTTTTCACAGTTTGCCATCCCTACCTTGCAACTGGCAGGAAATGGCCGATTCCTTGGCAGGCCAAATTTAAAGCAGTCAAGGATGTTGTTTAAGTAAGCCTTTGGAACTGGGTAGGGTTTTTATTAACTTTGTAATGTTAAGGAATGTTTTTAGTTACAAAAAACATCAGAGATCCTTGTGGAAGAAAAGGTGCAAGTAGGGCTGTATCTTTTATTTAAGTGTCAATCCACTTCCAGCTATTCCCTAAAGGAGCTAGAGATAAGGACACAAAATGCAATCTAACATAGGTTTGATAGGACTCAATTTTTGTTGAAAATTGACTGATAAAATTTAGTTTTATTTTGGTCACTAAAAATAGTCAATTCTACTGGTCAAGTTCATCTTTTTCTTCTGCCTCTCTTCCCGTCCCTCAGACCCCTCCACCTTCGCCTCCATCCCCAGAAATCTGCTTGCACTCTCTGTCTCCCCAGATCCAAGTCCTGTTTCCATCCCTGCATGAAATTTTGCCACTGCAGCCTTTCATTTAAGGCCCTTAATTTCTCAGGACCACAGCAGGTTAGGAAGGCTTGGAATTGTTAGAAAGTGTCTACAAGAGTCTTGGCACAGAGGACAACCTGAAGAAAGGCATGCAAGTCAAGATTTTGGATTTCTAGGAAAAGTTAACCAGTAATACAGTTTCCTGGTCTCCCCTGTGGCTTACACAACTGGTTTATATTGCATCATGTTTCATGAGTATAAGTAAAATATAACTTCTTTCCAACAAAGGCATCTATGCTGTGGCATAGTTTCTAACTTAAAAGTCTGATAAAGAAATTTTTGCTTGAATATGTGTCAAAAGTGGTGTTGCTGCAGTAACTTCTATTCCCAGGTTAAAATCATTGCGTCTCTTGCCCATCCTGTTACTTAGTTCCATTACTTTTACGAAATATCACAGGCTCTCGTTTAATATATATGGCTATTTCATGAGAATGGCCATGGGTTTGTAATTTCTGTAATTGACCTGCATTAAAATTATGTCTCATTTGCTCTGTAAGGCCACATATAACTGCACTTTTTCAAACCTTTTTTCTGCTTTTTCTGTGAGTAAATTTGCTTGCTGTGTTCATGAGAGCACGCCTGTTGGCTTAATATGACTTTTCACTAAGAAAAGCAGGCACAACTAGTCTCTACATCTTTGATGCTGTTGAGAGCACCGAGTAATATTTGCACAGTTCTCTGCAATTACCGTTGGAGAAACTTCACCAAAATGAGTAGATGTGCTTCTAGGTGAAAACAAGACTAAAATACTGAGGCTAGACGCTAACGTGTTGAAGTCCACACAAACTACTTTTTTACTGTTTTTTTTTCTCCTCCCCCATCCCCCCCCCGAAAATAATTTTATGAGTCATAAGAGACCTAGCAGAATCCCACTAAAAAAGGGGCAAAATTTCCACTGATATTTTAAAAAGCCAAGATTTTTTTCCCTATGTTTGCTCCCAGGGGATATTGTTAGGCTATTTTCTATTAAACATGGACAGATTTTTTAGCAAACCAGATTGGTGTTCCCTAAATTATTTGTGGGTAGTTATGCTTTTTACCTAGATGTTTGATTTTATCAGTGAGCAAATATTTCAGAAAAATATTGCAAACAAGTAATCCATCTTGGAGCTCTGAGAAACGTGTGGTGAATGCAAGCAGTATGGCAAAATGGAATATCTAACATGAGCAACTCACCGTTGGTGGGTGTCCTGGCAGGTGATGGGGGAGAAGGCATCTTGGCCCTCTGTCCTCTCCGTTTTCCTTTGTATGACTTAATTTCACAAAGGCGTTGGGAAAGGAAGAGTCCAGGGCCGTGACTGTGCTGAGCCCTGGCAGCTCCATTTCCCCTGCTCCATGGCAGATGAAGAAGGGAGCGGGGACAACCTGGGTCTTGCTCTGTGCTGTTGACTTCACACGTGTACTGGCGTAAATGCCCCTCACTTTGCATAACCCCCCAAATGCTCCCAAGCAGGGTATTAGGATAAGATCTAGCCAATTCCTTTAGTAGAGGAGGGGCAGCATGGGCTAAAAGTGTTAAGTGACTCTGCTCTAAATAACCACGCTCCCAAAAATCAGCTACTTAGAATTTGCTGTAAAATCTCCATGATCTAATGTTTTACAGCTCACAGAACAGGAACATAAGTCCAGATACCTTCCGTACCAAGGCAACAGTCAGCAATATCCACTACTTGTCAGAACAATCAGCACACCCTTTAAACGTGGTATTTTGTACTACGAAAACCAAGAGCTGAGACTGAAATTTGGGAGTTGCTGGTTCCCTTTCCCATGTGTAATACAGCAGAACTGTTTTCTTTGGTCATCACACATTTCTCAATAGTTTTAAAATACTTTGATCAATAGAAATTTAGTTAAACAATTGAAATATACAAGTTTTAGAAGGGACTTGGAATATTGGTCTTGTTGGTGCTGGTTTTAGTAAATACAGTTCTATAAGTGGTGCTTAATTTTTGCTTTGTTTTGGTTTTCCTAATATCAAATAGTTTATTGTTTTCACTGGTCAAAAAATAAGTCTGCTCCTTTTGCATTTTGCCCCCTTATTTTTCTTTTTAATGAAGGAGTGGGAAAAAAACAGAAAGAAAATGGGAAAATTGGGGAAAAAGCTTTTATCAACTGTTTTCCCATATGTGCATTTGCACTTGATGTGGTTTAGTTCTGAGTTTATAACAGTAAAACCTTTGAAAATGAGATAAAGGCTTTTCCAGAAGAGAATCCAGGGTTAGATCACTGGTTTCATATCTAGGGAAAAGTCTACATTTTTGTTTTTTATTAAATATATAGCAATTCTTTGGGAACTAGTGGGTGGTCAGCACTTGAAGTTCCAAAAACCCATATACACAAGAAAAAATAAAATTTGTATGTCGTTGTTGGCAAAAAAATAAACCAATGGGGTTTGCCTTTTTAAAGTGAAAGAGCAGTGGGGTATTGGCCCTGTAAATTAAGAAAAAAGAAAAAGGTGTTTGCATGAAAAATTCCTAAGCCTTGAGGCTCTTTCTTATCTTACGTGTATCTTTTGTAATTTCCTAAACTGTGATGACTGCCATCATCCTTTTATTCCATTAGTTGCATCCCATTCATCAATCCTTTTCTGAACTGTCAAGAGAGTTCCTTGCAGATTGATTCAAAATGCCATGTTCCCAAAGGCTACTCATTAGCTCAGAAAGATTTTTAGTCAGAAGAATTAGAACAGGCTCTGGCAGAATTAGGCCTACAGTTGTTTTTCAGTAAACGTATTATTTTAGTGTGCACAGGATAAATGGCCAACAAATCTGATTTGTGAACTTCTGTTTCAGGTTATTAGGAAAGCTCTAACAGAGGAAAAACAAGTGTCCACAAAGACATCTGCAGCAGATCTTGTGACAGAAACTGATCATTTTGTGGAAAATTTAATTATTTCTGTTCTGAAAGAGAAGTTTCCCTCCCACAGGTGAGTGCCTATAGAAAGAAACTATCAATGACCTGTTTTCCTTTAAGAGCTGTATATCTGACTGGCATTTAAAGGGAATCTTAAAAGTATACATATCTCTCTTACCTATTAACCTATTGCTTTTGGACACTTTCAGAGGACTTCTTTTTTTAAAAGCTACCACTTCCCTCTACTTAGTACTTTATATTTTCTAATAGTTATGTTTCTTAATATATGTATTTAATAATGTTTCCCCTGTAGGGACATCATGTATAAAGGTTTTGTATGGATCTCCATGATTTTCAGAATACTGATCTGTTCTCTATTTTATAAGAATTATGCTAAGGATATCTATAAAATATAGCTGAAATTAATGATAGCAAAGGTCCCATCCTGCAGACCTTCCCTTCACTTTCTTTTGCCATCATACATAAGCGTTTGCCAGATCAGGACAAGTATCTCATTTAGTCACATTTACCTTGTGTTGTATAGAATCCTAAAATCAGTGAGAAGCAGGGTTGTTTATCATCATCATCATTTGATGCATATACATAAACAGGTTATAACTTTTACTATATGGGATGACAACCCAAGGTTTTAAAAATAGATCAGATTGTTGACTCCTCTTGAATTATTATGGTCAATTTGAAAATAACAACTCCTAGCACATGAACAGATTAGAGAGAAGTTTGGTATTAGTTGGCCAGTTTTGTTCAATGCAGAGACTCTGCAATCGATTTCCACGTTTAACTTCAGTCTACACGGATAAAATTCATCTTGCTGCAGAGCCTGTGTATCCCTTAAATACTGTATGACTTCCTCCTAACTGTGTGCATCTCTGATGGGGATGAGCCTTGCACTCTAGTGCTGTGCAGAAATCAACAAAGATGAAAATCTGGAGGCTCAGCTACTAATCTGATTGTCAGCAATGCTGCTGGAAAAAAAACGCCGTAAGAAGGAGCAGAAAGAACATTATATACTAAATATGGCTTTCTAAATACGTGTTGTATGTGATCACATATTGAAGCAGTACTGTACAGCATAATGTGTGGTTCTTGGCCGTGATTCTCAAGAGAGTGCCAGGCTTTACAAGCCTATTATTTGTGTAATATTCCTTCTACTATTGCTGGCTGTGCTCTTTTCTCATCTCCACTCTTACGGTGGTTTTTTGTTTTTTTTTTCCTTGAACAGTCTGGCAGAGAACATAAAACATACGCATTTCACATAAAATGAGAATCATCAGAAGCACTCGAGTTACTCAGAATGGGAACAAAAGTTGTAAGGTCAACATAGACCTAGGAGTGCAAAAATCCCTGACTTTATTAACTCTGTAAAGTTAACTTCTGACTTTATAAGCAACTGAAGGAATTGCTGTTTCTTCAAGACCATTATTTTTTGCTGATACTGGTTATTGGTTTTGATTGAAGCTTATTCAGACAGTGAATGCATTTAGATTAAACAATAGATTAAAACTAGATTTATCTAGACTAGATTTAAAACACTTGCAATGAGGAGTTTGCAGTAGCAATCAAGGTTTAAATTACAGTGCAATGAAAACATTAAAAGATCACTTAAATTGTGTTTAGTCTTTCCCCTAACCTGGTTGTTCAAAGCATCACTGAAGATTTGTTATTTCTTTTTCTCTTAAATCATCTTGATTCTTATGTTCTCTGAATCAAAAAATGTACCTTAGGAGTTAAAAAATTAAAAGGGATCTCATTAGAATCTGTGCTATTTGCAACTGTGGCAGTGATGAGTCTTCAGATATTGGAAATGTACTCAGGAGTAAAGAGAAATATTAGGAAAACCTATTAAAAATGTAATTTGGCCCGTTTCTTTCTTCTTCTCTCTGCTTGGCAAAGTGCTATGTATCATCCTCATTTGTGCTCATCCAAGTTTTCATCTTTGCCCACTCTTTGGCACTCTGACATGCTCGAAGTGAGTCTTTTCAAAAGGATGTTTTTTGTGATAGATCTTTGAGTTGTGGATAGGCACAGCCAGAATATCAGGGGTTGCTGGTTGAAAAAGGCTATCGTACCATTTGTCTGTGTTATTGTTACACAAGTTGTCATCTTTGGTGTTAATTGTGGCCTTAATCCTGTAGACCTTAAAACCAGGACACAGCCATTACAGAGGGTGACATCCGACTCCAGCTTCCCAGCTTTCTGCCCTCGGACACCCGGAGGGGATGGGTGAGGGGCAGTGCTGGTTTGAACCTCCTGCGCCCGACTGGCAGTCGCTGCTCCTGCTGCAGTTTACGCTATGCTATGGTTTCCTTGCTGTTCCAGCAATGAATTTCAGAGCAGCACCATGGTACGAACAGATGTACGCTCAGGCTTGGCTGAAATTACTGGACTCGTTTTCCATGGGAGAGAACTTTAATCCAGATTTGAAGAGAGGTCAACAGAGCTGGCAGGCTGGCATACTAAATTAACTACTGTAATGACACGGCTACCCTTCCCACTTCTCAAGCTGTTCCTAAAATTTGGTCTCCAGTACTTCAGGCCGAATGTTTTGCTTAGTTTGCATGTTTTTACAGCACAGGGAGCCATAGAGCAACACATCTGATATTGCCTGTGAGGGACTCTCACAGTTCCCAGTATCGCATAACAGCAAGGGGCTTATTTTAACCTGTTGGCCCAAATTTCATAAAATGGGCACCTAATTTGCCCTACATCCATTTTGGAAAAGTTGTTCTTGGCCATCAAGACTTTATCAATGGCACTGCTGTGCCCCGGCTTCATGTTAGCATTTCTGTCTGGGGGGGCTGTGGCGTCGCACCCCTGCTGTAAAGAAAAGGTGAGGGACATGCTTACGATACTTGAGGGCAAAACACCTTACACAGAAATGCTCTTGTCTTTAAAGAAGTTCCCATTTCAGCTTTCTTTGACTGGCAAGACAATGGCTACAGCTCGGGCCCTGGCTGGGGGAGCTGGCAGAGGGTTGAAGCAGGGGCATAATCCATGGGGAAGGTGGACAATCTGAGGTGGGACATGAGGTGCTCCATCTGCAAGAAGATGAGCTTCCTCTGCAGCCAGCAGCACAGCCGAAGCGTATGATTGGGTTTAGGTGCTAATTACAAGATTTGTAAAAGCAAAAGTCAAATGATACAGTACCAACAGGACAAAATAATGGAATATTTAGAGCAAGGAGTCTGCAAAGTGTTACGTTTGACTGAGAATTCCAAACACTTGTTCAAGTCTTTCTTGTTTCTCAGTTGCACACTAACACTTCGTCCTTCAGGTGTTATCTTTAATGGAGGTGAAAATAGGAACAAACACTTCCTACTTCCCTCTTCATACCAACTGGGGGCCCACAATGCCATCAAAACAGTCCCTTTCTACTGAGAGAAAGGCAAAGCAGCGTTTGGAAAATTCAGGAAATCTCCTCCTGTGCTGTCTGCAGAACATTTTAAGCTCGTGGTTGCAAGCGTTATGTGGCATCATGCAGCGTGTGTTGAGGGCACAAAAGAAAATAGCTGTTACTCTAGTCCTAGGGAAGCAACTGTTTCTGCAAAAGACATTTTCTCTTTATTTTATCCAATTTTTTTCCCTCTGTGTCTTCAAGAGAAGCTTTTTCGTCTTCAGGCATTTGCAGGAACTCTGAATACCACTACCAGTTGTTCGAATGTGAAACCAAAAGCCAGATTCAGTATTAAGCAGTCTGATTCTACATTTTCTGTACATACCAGACTTTATTCAAATTTGTGAGAGTAGCACCTGCACAACACTTATAGAAACAGACCCTGAGCAGTTTATGGGAGAGCAGGGATAATTAAGGTCAGCAGGAAATGTGCCAGAACTGGATGTTCATTTCCCAGGGAAAAGGGGGGGAGGGAGCATATCTACTAAAAGAAATTAGGACAGAACAACAGAACAGAAGATGAGCTCAGATTTCAATGTGTGCCTTGTGCATCCAAACAACAAGCAGAAAAAATAATTTGTTGATTTTCTCTGGGTCATGGGAAAAAGAAAGTTCAGCTTTCTAAACCTTTTAATTTCCAGACTACTGTAAAAAATTCAAGTGGGAGTGAGACTGGATTTTCTAAGAGTGCATTATTTCCTGCTGACTGAATTTGACTGCAAAGGGAAGCAGCTACAGTTTGCAGTTTCTGTTACTTACTGCAAGAGACAGGCCTAACACATAAAATTACATTCTGCATTAAAAAAAAAAACTTCTTCTAGAGTTCCAGGGATGCCAGTTCAGATCCATTTCTGCATTCATTTTCATGACTTTCCTAATGGTATATTGGGAGAGTGAACATAAATGGAGTTCTTTTTTACCATGTAAAATAGTATGCTATAAATTTGAGAACTCTCCTTCAAAGTTTCTATGAAAGTTCCCCATTCCCAAATGAAAAAAGCAGTATGTGTGTTTATAGATACATATATATTTATACAATTTTTTTATATGTATAAAAAAAATGAAGTATCTCTTCAAAAACTGGAAGATGGAGTTTGACTTTTCCAAATCACATATCTAAGCCAGTTTTCTGAGACACTTGTTTTACTCCACACCAAATGCAGGTTTATTGCAGAAGAATCCACTGCTGCTGGTTCAAAGTGTGTCCTCACCGACAGTCCGACCTGGATTATTGACCCTGTTGATGGAACGTGCAACTTTGTGCACAGGTAAGTAGACAGTGAACTGAGAAATACATAAAAAAAGCAAAATGTAGCTTCTCACAAATCCTCCCTTGCACTTAAAGGTGTTTTACTGTGGTAGATTCATTCCCTTGACTCGTAAGTAGGAGTCATCCCTTTATCTTTTTGTACCTCGTGTAGTGTATCTGAGGGAGTGTGTGTTTGTGCTGGAGAGAGCTCTGTACTGTTACCTAAGGTAAGCTAAAGTTTCTGCTGATTGCTTAATGACCCAAAGCTCTTGACTCACAGCTCGTTTATATATAACTGCACAATAACGTGCAGAGACTTGAGCTGAACTGGAGGAACAAGGCTGTGCTATGATGACACTTGGCCTAACGCCTTATGTGGTTGTTACACATTCCTTTTAGTAGTGGTGTTTTCTCCCTTTCAAATACAAACGCTTCATTTTTCCTGGGAAGTAGAACTATTGCATATATGTAGAGTAGAACTGAAAACTAAGTTATACATAGATAATGGTTTTAAATTTCTAAAATACCTCTAGGCAAAAAGAAATCCAGGGATCATTACTGCAAAAATGCAAAAGTTTAATTTATTGGTTGAGTGCTAGGGGTTGTAAACTAACGACTGTTCATAATACTTCTACTTAAAAACCTTAAATATGTTCTGCCTTGTAGTTAGTGACTTAATATAACTGCATTTATCATTTAAAAAAAAAAAAGAAAGCATTTCCTTGAATTTTGATGCAATTACACAGAACTCAAGGGCAGATGGGGGTTGTCATGTGCTGGTATTTCATGCAATTAAGTGAAATTTTCTCTTTCTAGCAGTATTTTCTGGACCTTTACTTTACAGCCCTTTTTAAAACGTGTTTTTAAGAGATGAATTTATTTCATTGTTTAAAATGCAATAATTATACTTTAGTCAAAAGGACCAAATTAAATCCATGATCATCACTTTGACAAAGGAGAGAGCAGGGGAACTGGTTTCTCCTTATGTTGATGTCAGCAGCAAGGTATATCCATGCTACTTAATTGCTGTCTCAGATGCTTGAACTTAAACAAAATGTGCTCTTAAAAGTGATGACTTGTTATAACAACACTAATGATTTTATACTGGATAATTCAATTACACTAAAGCAAAAAGATCACTAAAATATACAACACGCTTAGTATAAAAATCCTGATAACTTCATGTGTTTATTCCTTGCCTTCTCCAATATTAAATTACATTTTTAAAGGAACCAACAAAGTTAAAGAAGCTGACAAAGGAGAACTAGTACAACGTCAAGAGCATTTTGACACAAGTAAAATCACAGAGCTCCATGTGGGGTTTTGTTGCCTAAGGGAGTTGCATAAGGAGTAAGTCGAGAGATTTTTCATCAATAATTCTTCATTTCTTATTTTTCACAGATTTCCAACAGTGGCAGTGAGCATTGGATTTGCTGTTAACAAAGAGGTATGAAGTATGTTCTCTAAGATGGGTACCTGAGAGCTGGTTAGAAGCCTCAAAACCATGTGGGAACTTTAAATAAAATAAAATTTTTTAAAAAATCAGCCACTACTCAGGTTTTTCCATGCTTTTTAATTGCATTTGATCATACTCTACTAGTCTAAAATCGTAGTCCTGCAAAACTTACTTACGCAAACTGGCAATTACAAGACAATTCTTACAAATTATTACAAATATTACAGGATTTATGTGGGGGGGAGAAAGGGAGTACTGGTGTGAGCAAGGCTTTGTAAGACAAAACCATAATGAGTTAAATATAGTGCTGCCTATTCATAATTTAAACATTATCTCCTAGTGTTCTTATGTTATTATTATTGCTTCTTTCCTGCTAGCAGTATCTGTGAAAGCTAACTGCTACTATGAGGCAATTCAGAACTGATTTCTATGAAGAGTGCAAAATAATGGGCCTAGTTCATTTAATCTCCTTTTATGGTTTTTCTAATGTAGTAAAATAACTGTATTTCCCACATAAGAGCGTGATTACGGGCTGGGGGGAAGTACCTAGCCTTCATATGTCCCCATTTGAATTTCCCAGCTATACTCATTCATGCTAGTGCTTTTCTCCAGACGTTGCCAGTTTACCGTTTGATATATACAGAAGAAATAGCTATTCAAATTGCCAAGGAATGTGCCTCTTTCAGCCTTATTCCACGATCTTAAATATATGTATAGCTGTAAGCAAAGCCAGCAAGAATTCTGTGCAATAACAACATAGTTTTCAGATGCACTAGTGGCTCTTACTGATTTAAACAGAATAATGTTGTGTACTTCTCTAGTTAGACTTTTCAAACATGGAAACTGCAGAGGAGCATTTCCATGCTTTTCTGAAGTTTATTCATTCCCAAAGGTCATTTTGAATATTACATATTACTACCAGACAGATTTCTCTAATATTTATGTTTCTTAGAACACCATTGTGATTTTGATGCTGCATATTTTGGGTTATGTTAACTAAACAAAGCTGAAACAAAAATAAAGAATGATGTTAAATCTCCCTCAGTAAACAAATGGGAAAAGCAGAAAAAAGTAGTAAGCTGAAAAGGAGCCAAAGTACACACAGGGGAACTGGCCTGAATGTAAGTCTTGAACAGTACTGAAGAAATTCCTGCAGATGTCTTCAGGGAAGAGTCTATTAATAGTGTGTTCCTCAAAAGAAACCTTGGTTTAGATGGGACCTCAGGGTAGGGAGTGAGGACAGTCTATTCCCTTTGAATTGTCTCTGATGAACACTGATGATTATTCACATTGAACGGAGGAGGGCAGCAGGAAAAGATTTGGAGTCTAGAACATCTGAGATGTTTTCTTGACCTTGTTACCAACTTCTTCTGTGACCTTGGGCAAGTTGCTTAATTTTTGTGCATCTGTCCACCCCTAAATAAAATATTGCTAATAGTACTTATCTAGGGGTGATTTTTAGGAGCTGACCACTGAAGTTTGTAAAGTGCTTTAAAATCTTTTGGTGAAACCTATTAAAGTAATGGAAATATTAAATACCTTGGGTTTAAATCAAGGGTCAAATTCTGACCCTTTTCTCATTGGTAAACAGATACTCCCACAAAAATTCCAGTGTCGCTCATTCTCAAGCTTTCATTGAGGGTCACAACATTTCGTATTTCTCTTCAAACTCCTTCTCTTTGGGTCGTGTGACTTCATGAGATTCTCACTTTTATGTGTAAACAAAAGGATTTTGCAGAGAAATGTTTGAACCAGTGACCGGAGTGTACTACTTTGCTTGAAAAGGCGGGCAAATTACATGCATCGTGAAAGGTGAAGTGCATATAAAAGCACCCACTGTTAATACAGTGTGCCATGACTTCTGAGTTTGGATGCCTCACTGATCATATATCTATGTATTTGGGGCTGCAAATCTTCAGGGTCCACCTGAAGTCAATGGGACTACTTCTAGGTGTAACTGCTCACCAGTGAAAGTAAAGCATTCAGAATCTGGCCTTAGAGGACTTGCATACTTTCAATAAAAACATACAGTTGAATTTGAAATCAACTTAGCATGATCACGAACAGATTGCATTAACTTCTCCTTTATAAACTGAATTTTATATGACCTATATCTCAGTATCAAAGTAATAGTAAAATTATTCCAGTTTATTAGCATCAATACAATCTTTGATTACGTGTACCAGTTAAATTATTGCTGATCTTTCTGCCATTAGTAGTTGTTTATATTTATGATGAGTAATTTGAGTTGCATTCATTTCTTTCCTTTTCAAAATCTTAAAGCTTGAATTTGGTGTAATTTACCACTGCACTGAAGAACGATTATACACTGGTAGAAGAGGTCAAGGGGCATTTTGTAATGACAAAAGGCTTCAGGTATCAAAAGAGACAGGTTGGTCTAGATTTTGTTAGAACTCTAAAAGGAATATGTTAATTTTGTTTCAGAGTTGTTGCAAATCATCATTAGGATAATGAACATCATTATCCTGATGGACAGTATTTCACCTGCATGATAATTTTGTTGTTCTGTGTTTGTTTTTTTTCTGAAAAATCACAACTTTCCTCATTTTCTTTTTAAAATATACATCTGAATGTGAACTATTTAAATAATCCTAAATTATTTTGCTTCATAACCATTGTTTAAAATAAGGAAGAGTGAGTGGATTCACCAGTTTCATTCCAGCTGGCATAACTTTTTTATGAGGAAGATGCAATGAGAATGGTGAATCAAATTCAGAGTACAATGGCGGCCGTTATTCACTTACTTTCCAATAAACTTGTACGTCATAAAGTGTATTATGTCTGTAGGCATACATACTAACAGTAAACTAAAGGATGCATGCTTCACCAGGGGTTCTTTAACAGCTTGCTTTTGTGTGTGAGGTATGTTTCAACATACAAATAGATAGCAACACTTAGTCAACACTTTAATGGAATTCTTTTATTGGTAAACCAAGTCATAGATCTGTCTGTTTACCTAATGATAATAGATAACAATAATCAGATGTGTCTAGAGAAGTTTTCTTTTAATCAATGAAAATGCAGAGGGGAACATAACACTCAGTTGAAGACAGAAGCAGACATGTGCCAAAAACATACATCACTGTACACAGGAGATGGTAAAAATTTCACCCCAAAAAGAGATTTACGAACTTGAAACACAGTAAATTCAAGCAATTTAATGTACAGATTTGTTGTAGTGCCCCAAGCAGACTCTGCGTCAAAACTTCCCTGAAATTTGGGCAAGTTTGGCTATTCACCTAAATTAATAGTGAGCCAGGGTCTCCCTATTGGGAGAGATGGAGCAAATTGTGAAGTTGATAACCCCTAAGATTTTGAATCCTTGATTGTACATCACATTTTTGTCAGTGCTCAAATATCCCATATTTCACAAAAGCCCACGCTGTCAGAGACTATTAGGAAGAACTAGGGATGCACACAGTTGGGCTGGTAAGCCACTCCTGAACTGGCCTTGCTCACTTTTGCAGTCAGAGAGTTCTGTTTTCTAGTTGAGCAAGGAAGTTTTGGCACATTCCACTTTTGTCCTCCTTTCTCTGGACATCCAGTCTACGTGGGTGTCTAGAACAGAGCAAGGGAAGTGGACCTTCTGCCCTTCCAAATGCTTTGAAATTCTCCTTTGTTTTGAGAGACATCATTTGGTGGTGGGCAATTTCACCAGTGAAGATGGATCTTCTTTAGTCTTGCTTCTAATGATGTTTTATGTGTATAAAATCACAGTTGTTCTTTTCCTGTAAGGACTAAGGCTTCAGTAAAATAAACCAACCCTGGAACAGTGTGTTTCCCCGTACCTACCACTGGAACTCAAGCAGCCTTCACCGATACACAATGTGTTGGAGACCTAGGCTGTCATGTTACTTCATGCCTTTTGTTTTCAGGAAGTGTGACTGTTGTATAACATCGATCTGCGCTACACATTAATTGTTCAGATTTCATCATTTGAAATCACAGTCCAGGCAAATACTGTTCTTTGTCAATGCCAAATTTTGCAGAGGTCTGGCATGGGAGTTCAAGCAGTCAGGATAAACATAAATGAAGGATCCATCTTCCCTTTGATCTTGCTTGAGTGATATTTCTTATCATGCTTAGATTCAGGTCGGGCCTTCTATGTGCTAATACTGTAAGTGTATTGGTCAACAGAATTGGTCTTTTCCTCATAAATCTATCCATGTCACTGTTAAATGTCTTCTACCAAGCCTCCTTATTTTTCTGGCCTCTGTCAGAGTGAGGAGTACTCAGTAAATTTTTTCCTGTACCTTGAATTCCTGAAACCCCATCAATTCTTGTGATCAGCCAGCTCCTTTTCCTAAGCAGAGACCTCCCTCTTCCTTGCCTTAGTCTCCTCATCCAATTTCTACCTGTAGCCTTGATGAAAATTGAAGAGATCCATTTATGCATTAGAAATATATTTAATCACTCAAAAGAACAACTGTCTTAGTCATGACCCAGCTATGACTGGTGTGGTGTGAATGCTTGGTGCATTTCAGCAATGAGGCATGCATTAAATGTTCTGTAATTATAAATTGGGTCTGTTATGCAAAAAGGTCTAAGGCAGATTGCTTTCACCATCCAGAGTTTTCAGTGGTGGCTAAACAATGAATACCCTGCAGCGTGCCTGGATTGGTGTTTCTATATTTTAATGCAGTAATTTAAAAAGCAATTATTAAATCTATGTTCCTACAGTTACGCTTTGTGATATCCTGTAACTTTTAATCTAATTACATACCTGTTACTCACCAACCATTTACCACATTGCTTGAATCCATAATGTTCCTCTGCAATACTAAATTCATTGGTAGCCTGTTAATTAAATGATGTCTCACTCCAGCCTAATTTACTTTTGAAAACCTCCTTGCTAATTCTGCTAAGAATTTTCAACTTGTGCCATTAGCTGTAATAACCAGGTAGACATTCCCTAGCTGAATGAATGCCTAGCCTTAACCCAGGGTAGAAGGTGACACCTGGCACTTGGGCACAGCCTATTTAGTAAGTAATCAACAGCTAAAGCTTTGAGTTTTGTCATGCCTCTAACACCTCAAAGTTCAGCTGGCGCAGCAGAAGCAGGGACACTTGGCATTTGATCAACCATCTCCACCTACGTTGGCATATGCTTGTTAAATACTAGCAATATTCAGATCTCATGTGAGGACTACGTCAACACCCTGTAAGTCACTGTGAGTCTTTCTTTTGACTGTACACAAGGCTGATACCCTCATCTGCTGTAGGTCAGAGTTGCCCTTGCTGAACACAGTACAAAAATAACATTTGTATATTATTCTTAATTAAGATACTGCTGTAGTTTGTGATAAGAAGGGGTTTTATTCAGTCATAAGGTGTCTTCAGTCTTTGAAATGTCACAATGAAGGGGAGCTGTTACTGGATGACTGGTGGTTTAGGTAGAAACTTTTCTTTCCTCTTACTGTATTCCCAAATGTTTATCATTTGTTAACAAATTACATTAAAGTTCCCTATTCAAGAAATCCTGTTTTCAAATATGATTAGATTAGCATCATTCATAGTTGCTAGGTCACTGGATTATTTTTAGTTGACTGCTAATGTTAGTGAATTTGCCAAAAGCTGACCAGTCAATGAAATACAACAATGTATGGAAAGAGAAGGAATGTAAGAGGGCATTCGTGGTTTTAATCTTCCTGTTCTTTTTTTAAAAAAGTGTGTTTAAAGCAGACCATTTGATATGAGAAATCTAGTCTTGCTTGAATTTTTATACAAAGTTGTCACTTATCCCATGAAAGAGTTTGAGGTAAAAAAAGGGACATGAAAATTGTTTTTCTGTGAAAAGTCCATTAGTGTTTAATTTAAAAACAAATTTCCAGAATCTACCTGGAAGCTGTTGAATTAATGGAAACAACTACCTACATTGCAGATATCTCGAAGGCCTTAATTTTAACAGAAATTGGTCCAAAACGTGACCCTACAACTTTGAAATTGTTCCTTGGTAACATCGAGAGATTGCTCAAGGCACAAGCACACGGGTAAGATATTTTACAATATATGTCTCACATTTGTGACCAAAAATAATTTATAAAAAAAAAGTACGTTGCACGTTTTGTGATCTCGACACATAGGTTGAAATCAAAGGCATTTTCTGCTTTACATTACCGTGTCCCCTTCTCGTGGGGTTTAGGGTCCGTGTCATTGGGAGCTCGACCCTGGCTCTGTGCCATTTGGCATCCGGCGCTGCAGATGCCTATTACCAGTTTGGGTTACACTGCTGGGACTTGGCAGCGGCAACTGTCATTATTAGAGAGGCAGGTGGCACTGTAATAGACACTTCAGGTGAGTAAAATATCCTTGTTTTCATTGACCACCTGGGGACTGAGTGGCTATTTTGGGGCAGCTTCTGTTACCTCAGTACAGTCCTTCTCCTGTGGCTCTATCTCATTTCTGGCAACATTCTGTAGAAGCGTCTGTACTCCCCGCTAGGCTCTGGCTGGTTATTCATAACACGCTGATGTAATTCCAGCCTGGGGTTTCATCACATCAAAGGTCTTCTGAGTCAAACTGCATTTCCGTGGCTTTAAGTACTTCCTTTAAAGCATCAGATTTACAGTAAAGAACCAGCCCAGGAGATTGGTAGACATGCTCAGACTCCAAACCAATTTCGGCAGAGACGGCCTCCTGAGAAAGGAGGAGTCTCAGGTACATGTCTGACCATACATGACTAGGAACTACTCCGAGGGACTAAAGGACAGCACAGTCTCTGGATTATTATTTTATTCATTTAGATGGTGCACATCTCACAGTAATGGTTTACTGGTGACCAATATGCAGATACTGTGGAAAGATATGGTGGATTAACAAGAAGGGTACGCTGATTGAACTAATTTCTGTTCCATCCCTTCCTGTTGCTAAAAGAAGGGAATATTGCATTTGTTGTTGGATGCTGAATGAATCTAGACATTTCGCTGCTTCTGTTGCATACTTTGGCACTGTATCTAGAATTTTCTGAAATTGTTTTTTGCCGGAGATTTCCAGATAGGATTTGCTGAATTGGACTGTCATTCCCACCCCAAAAAGAGCTACATATGAAGTTGTTTCAGTGTTTCTGAACCTATCTAATTACTGCATGGTTTATATTTAAGAATACATTGCCTTTTTACATCACGTAAGACAGTTCTCATTAATCCTCTTGTCCTCAGGGGGACCTCTGGACCTTATGTCCTGCCGAGTGATTGCTGCGGGCACCAGAGAGATGGCTATGTTCATAGCTCAGGAAATACAAACTATTTACTACAGACGGGATGATGAAAATTAAATACTTACAATATGGAGTCTGCCCTCCTGAACTACGTAACTTTTGCAAGATGGGTGGCTTAAAGGGTACGTGATTTCAGCAGGATGCTTTCTGTGGAGATTTTCTGTGTCAAATATTTTTTATAAATTTATTACAATGTGGGAAGGCATAGGGAGATTTTTAAACCTCTAAGAATCATGTTTGCTTTTTAATATGTATCTCTTTCAGCAGTATCTTTTTTATAAAATAGCATATTTTACTTGTAGTAAAGTAGTCTCAAAATTAGGTTGTAATTTCATATCTGTGGGGCTGATATTTAGTCTTTTGTAACATGCAGCTAAAAATGGAACTATTTTTACAGATGCAGATCTCAGGTAAATGAGCTTTAGGACTGTAGTCAGGACAAGTAGTTAAGATGTGTGCCTATAATACCCTTGTTCTATGATACTTAAGAATGCAATAAAAATGACATTATTGTTTCCTAACTACATAATAGTGATATATCCATATATATGTATATGTACATATATGTATGTCTGTGTGTATGTGTGTATTATATATACACCTATACATGTATATCCATGTATACACACACATACGTGTGTGTGTATATATATATATATGGGTATCCTGGATGTTTACAGCAGTTTAGAGAATGCATAGAAGAAAGCTAATATTGGAAGTTGTTTTCAGGTAAAGAGCATAGGTTACTTACGTGATTTTTGGTGGGGGCTATCCACATGATGAATAACAGAGCTGATCATGGAAAATGTTTAATGATTTTACAAACTGTCCAGCTAGTTCTTGTTTCCCTTCATCCCTCTGCATGGGGATAAATCATACTGTCCTACAGGCCTCTCTAAGATATTCAAACCTGCAAACACCTTCTACCATAGAGTAATTATAGTTAAAACCAGGAATATTGAACTCCACTGAGTTATTCACAGTATTATCTATGACACGCAGCAGGAGGCCAGCAGAATAGAGCACAGTGTCAAGGAGCTGTTGACTTTAGAGAAACTCTGAGCAGAACAGCAGGATTTGGCCCCTTACAGGCAAGTTATTAAAAATATGCACATAAGATATGCTTGCAAAAAGTTGTAAATCACATGCCCTTCTCACACAAAGTTGTAATAGCACTTTTTGATCAGAGAAACCTGTAAAATCAGTTACATACATTTCCTAAATACACAGCTGTTCTCTATCCTTGTTCTCTATCTTTGTATCTAGCATTGGTTTTACTTCCACCAAGGTGTTAATTTCTATTTAGATTATTATTTAAATCATGAGCACAGGGAAAATACAAGTGTGTCCAGAAAAGTAGTTGAGATGAAATCACTTCTATTTTTTTCTTAAAAAACTGAATTAAAAGATGTGTCTTTTTTGCAAGAGTGCAAATTAAAGGAATGAGCCAAAAAAGTAGGTTGGTTAAAAATTTTTATCTTTCTTTATACACTGCATGTGTAGACTTTGTAAACATGTTCAGATATCTGCTTAATACATACAAACTAAACAATATTTTTTAAAAATAACCTTACATGTGTTTTTTGCAATGAAAAATGTTTTTCACTGAATATAATGTAGAATTCTGTGTGATTTCTTGATGCTTTTTTCACAAGAAATACAAAGTATTGACTCTGTGAAGAATGACTAAATCCAACTAAGCATTTAAGAACTGATGGTTCTTAACAGAAAAGCAACGCTGTCTGTCACAGTGATCAACATTTTGTCACTGCTCTGTTTTACCCCGCAGTCCCCCCCCATCTCTTTGTACCCCCCTGTTCAGAAACAGAGATTGTAAGCCCTCTGGGGCAGGGACTATAGTGCATTGGCTCTGGGTTTGCACAGTGCTAATAGGATGTGATTCTGGTCCACGACTAGGCACTGAGGTGCTATAATAATACAAATAATAAATACTAACAGGCTCATTTGTCTCTTATTTGCCCTCCCCCCAATTTCTGAGCATAGCGGAGATCTGAATGACAGATGCGGAGCCTGGTGGCACCGCTCTGATCCCAGGGTGCTTAGCCTTGGCAGCCGTGGGAGCAGCCAGGGCTTTACTCGGACTTCTGCCATGGCTGTAAGCCCCGTAAGGAAGCTTAGGCTGGCAGGGGATCAAGTGTGGTGGAAGCTCAGCCCCACTTCATCCGCTCCCCCTCCTAACCCCGTCCCCCACAACGCGCTGGGAGAGGACCATGTGTGAGAAGCTGCTGCGTGGCTCAGCCTGCTTGTACAAAGAAAGTGTCTGACCCAGTTAGGACTGGTGTGCGCTGGTGTCCCAGAGCTCAGCAAAGCAGGGAAATCTGTGCATCGACTTTGGTGGCACACAGCAGCAATTTGCTAAGCTGGAGCCAAGCATGGTGGGAAGGGAGAGGTGCAGAAACCCATTCACAAGTTCTCATTTGTGCCTCTCATTTGTTTTTTATTTGGGCTGTAGTTCAAGTGTGTTAAACAGGCAGGGTGTGTGTGGAGCAGCAATCCTGTCTTGCCCCCCTCCTCTGCCGCTCGTCTGCCAGTACAAACATTTCTGATCCCTTCCAGTGGACCAGATGAGTGAAGTGATCTGCCTGTAAAGTACCCCAGTAAACAAAAAAGGGATTATTTTACAGACAGGTCATTTTCCCAAGCCAATTCAGCCCCTGGCCACCAAGAGCTGCTGACTTCAGGCACCAAAGGGGCTAGCGAGGGGGCAGGCAGGATGGCTCCGTTCACAGATGGTGCCACATTATGCCAGTTCAAAATTTTTGTCAAAGCACAGCCTTAAAACTATTTAACTACACATACTTACTGAAATAAACTGTACCGGAGTTTGTCCTCCCTTCGTTTTCTCTTGCTAGCCAGATGAAACTTTGTTCAGCATGCGTGTCCCGCAGCTCTCTGTGTCAGTGCGAGCATTCATAACACAGTTAGTTAGTGCAGCACATCAGCCAGAAACTTAAATCCCCCAAAATGCTTAAACATGTGGGCTCTTTTCCCTACCAGCTGTTGTAAAATGCTGCAAATGTTTTCCACTACATACGTTAGGGAGTACGTAAGTGGATCTATAATTAGGCATCCAAGACAGATGAAGATTTTCTCCGTGAACACTGGCACAAAGATGCCTGTGCTCTGAAAAGTGAGTGCTTCCTCTGCAAGCAAACACTGCTTAGCTTCCTGGAGCTATCCCAGTTTGTGTCCTCACAGGCTATCCCTCACAGGGTTGCTGGTGGAGAACATTTTATACCTCCAGGCTTGCTGGCCTGGTCTCCAGTGCTGCTTGCTGGTAGAATAAAGAGCATAAATAGCTGTAAACTCCAGGAAAACAGTCGGTGGCTGATTCTTTTGCAGCGTGTCTGGTTGAGCTTGTCAGATTTTACAGAACAGGTATTGGCATGTTTCATACGTGCTGAAGGACTAGTATTTTCCCTTTGATTACACTAGCTAATCACACAGTATTAAAGAAATTTGCATGTATTGGTGCACTTACCTAGGGGCCCACAGGCAGTATTCTCCATATTTCATCTAGAATTTGGTTCCTTTTGGCAATGGCTTCAATTAAAGCAGTAAAAATACCACTTACCACCAGCCATTCTGCTATCAGTCTTACAGCTATGCTGTTCCCTCAGCAAGGCTGGATCTGTTCCGTGTATGCACAGGAGATGGGCAAGGGGATCTTTGAATAATGAAATAAGACTTAAGCCACTCTATCAAATTAACATAGACCACATCTTTTTTCCTGGTAACTTCCTAGAGCTACCAAGACTGTTTAAATTGCCTTTTTTCCTTTATGCCAGTAGGGAAACTATACCCAAAAATGTGCTCTCTCTCAGCACTGTATCGCCAAGACTGAAAATGTAGAGAAGTCAGAATTATGGTTCCTACAGCAGTTTCCATTTTACAGTGTGTTATAGTTAAGTCTTTCATAAAACGTATCCCCAACACTAAGGAATGTGACAAATCATTCACCAACAGCGGAAAGAGGAATTTCCATTTTCTGTTAATCAATGCACCAGACATGACAATAGCGCTATAGGATACTACATTTTATATGCATGCTGTGTTCAAGTAGCAAAAGAACTATTTTTATTCAAAAGAGAAATAACTGTTGACACTAACTCTGGATTTCTGTGGGTTTTGTTCCTGAAGTTTTAATTTTAAATGGATTACAATAGTGGGTTTGTACTTTTGTACTTTACAGCCCATTATATTTATACAGTGAATTTTAGAGTAAAATGGATTGGAGGTCAAAGTGTGCCCTTTCTCATCACAGAATGGGAAGGTATGCGTATCACAACACAAAGAAGCAGAATTCTGTATCTCAGAGTACTAAATGTTACTATTTTCATGTGCTATTTCCCTTGTACACTGCTATGAAATCCGTGCATACAAAGAGTGTATTGCAGTGCAGCCTAGCTAAAAGACAGACCCACCTCATACAGATGGTATGAGAATTAATTAATGTTCAGAAGGCTCTTTAAGTGCAGTTGCTTTTATACAATTACTGAAATGCATTCAATCATGCTAAATACTTCAGCGCATACCCTAATATACAGCATTTATACATTCATTCTCTGCAACCTTTTATGCACACTACCACTGCGCGTTCTGTTAATATCACAGCCTAATACACTATGCTTTCTTCAGTTAGCTACCGACTTTCAGTTTTACTAAAAGCTGTTATTCTTTTAGTGAATACTCAGGATTTTTATAATACAGCCATTAAAACTATTGCTTCCCAATTCACGGAAGCAAACGGATTCAGAATTGAGGTCTGAGTCTTCTTGCCAACACTTACTGGGATGAATTGGATAAATCAGTGGAATTACACCTGTTTGCAGGGGAAAAAAAAAATAGCCAAAACCATGTTCCACAGGCAGAACTTTCTATCTGATCACAGGGAGGGAAAGTCTCCTCCGGCTCAGCAATGCCTGGTTTGCAGCATGGAATGTTAATTGTCTCCAAAAGGGGCGTTTTCCTCCTCCTGGGAGGAAAAACTAGCAGTTACAGTCAAAATCACTGCTAATGGATATGTGCCAATACTATTTGGAAAAAATATTATTCATATACTTCAATGCAGTCTTATTTTTCAGTATTAACCGAAAGGTCAATAATATTTTATTTCTATATACTTTTTTCATCTATATATAAAATAGATGAAAATTGAGACCAGAATAGGGGTTTTTATTTACAAATTACTCATGCAAAGGCTCACAAAAATTATCTTAAAATTTCTGAGTGTCTGTATCTCCAGCCACCTGTCACAATCAAATTCCAAGTATTACTCAGTGGAAAGAAGAACATTTATTCAGATGTGTTTGCTAAGGTAAAAAGGCTCACAGACACATTCTTCACACAGAAAGATTATGTCAGGTAGCAAAGAGGTCAGTAGGGAAGAGATAAACTTTATCACATTAAGCTGGAATCCTCCTTAAGTGTGAAAGGTCTGTGTCTTTTAACAGTGCTTTTCTTTTAGCCATGAATATGCAATGGTGGTATTTGAATTTAAGGCTATTTGAGAAGGCAGAACTATATATGAAAGCACACTGTTGCTGTATCAGTGATGCAGCAGTCCTTCAAAATACTATGACATTGATGGTCACTTATAAGATGGTGAATTGGATATATTCATGGTGGAAATACTGGTTTATTCTATTTTGAAATGAATTCAAGCATTATTAGCCAGGCTGTCAGACAACATGGAACTAAAATCGGAATTCCATCACTTTTGTTTGTCCATTGCAATAAGCGACACATTGTTCTCCTGAGAAACACAGATATTCTTTCTTGCCAAACGTTGTTTAATGTTGGTCTTGTTGAGTAGTACCACCAGACGATGCCGGTGAGCCCAGCTTAAGAAAACAGAGGCCAAAACCTCTAGTGGCACAAGGGGACACAACTTTGGCGATGTTGTGAAGCTCAGGGCATGGCATGACTATCACTGTAACTCAGCAAAACTATCAATTGTCTTTGTACTGAAATAACAGCAGTCTTCTGTGATACAAATACTTACATCCATCAGGTGACACGTAGTCAGGCTTTCTGGAGACACTGGGTGATTCTAAAGTAGTGTTTCAGATGCTCAGCATGCCTTAGGGTCATGCTTAGCATTTCAGACAACAAATATTTTAATGATTCTTTTACTGTAAAATATAGTCATTATTATACATACATGTAGAAACTTAGAAATTTAATGCTGGTTCTCTCGTGCTTTGCACCTGCTGTAATCATTGACTATTTGTAAAAGGGGTGAGATGCTATATTAATAGAATATTAGTATTTTGGCATTCACTTTTCAAATGTAGAAATAAATATACAATGTACAAGGGCTCACCATTTTTTAATACTGTGTTT